GACGGTGGCTGGCGCAGCGGTGGCCGGACGGTGGCCGGTGGCCGACGGTAGACGGTGGCAGGGGGCAGCGGCGGACGGTGGCAGGCGACGAAGAACTGTGGCTCCGGACAGATATATATTACGAGACAGAAACCAGAGCGGGATCGACCCGCTCTGATACCAACTTAAGATTGAAACTGTAAAATAATTCTAGAAGGTTTAATTGATCCCTCTCACAATCTTCTATTTATAAGAATAAATTGATACACAAGTACATGATAAATAGGGTAACCCTAGACACAATATAATCATGATAAATAGGGTAATCCTAGACACAATATAATCATGATAAATAGGGTAATCCTAGACACAATATAATCATGATAAATAGGGTAATCCTAGACACAATATAATCACGATAAATAGGGTAACCCTTGACACACTATAATAATGATAAAATAGGATAACCCTTAACACAATATAATGATGATAAAATAGGATAAATATCCTAACATCTCCAATGGGCTCAATTTATCAAACGCACGTTAAACGGGTAGACTCAATCATATGGAAGGAAAGGCCATTTCCACGGGTGGCTCTTTTTCAGATTTGAGATAATGATGACTCACAAATCATTACATGGTTATGGGGATCCATGACTACAAAAATAAGTACAAACTATATGTTCTACTCCAGTGCTCGTGAAATTTGGGAGGACCTTGCAACTACTTATTTTATGCGACAGGACATCTCTACATGTTATGAGTTAGAAAGCAAGATCTTTGGTGCTAGGCAGGGAACCCTCTCTATTTCAACATATTATGGAATGTTGAAGGGTTTATGGATTGAGTTGGACCAATATCAAAATTTGAAGATTGAGAATAGCATAGATGCTATCACACTTGCTTAGTTTGTTTCATGATCTTGGATATTTAAGTTCTTATGAGGATTGAATCCTGAATATGACCCTATTAGGGCTAAAATTCTTTGGAAGGAAAGACTGCCTTATCTTTCTGAAGTCTTTATTGTCTGAGGTGGGGAGGCTCCTTGACTGGCATGATGAATGAGCCCTCCATTGAAGGAGCTGCCATGTTCTCTGAAAAGACTTCCAAACCTGGGACTTAAAATATTGCAAATATGAAACTTAGCTTAAAAGATAAGAAGGAGCATTGGTGCTCTCATTGTAAGAAATCTGGCCACACCAAGAATCTTCTTTATATTTCAAATCAATTAACAAAAATAAGAATCTTCTTCCTTTCAAGTCTATGTTTTCTACTATTTATTATGTGGGGCCTATTGTTGGAGAGAAATGCTGGAATCTTCAAGGACGTACTTGTTTTGGCACCTCTTAGTACAAAGGAGTGGCTTTGATATATGTGCAAAGAGAATCGAAACCTCCACTTTGGTCAAGATTTTCTCTTTAGTTATTCCTTTAATTTGGTTACTTTTGCTTTTATACACTTGTCTTTCTCCATTCTAGTACTAATAAGAACCAAGGCCATGTCAGAAGGGCTTGTATAATCTTTAATTTCAACTTTGACAAGAGCTAGGTGCTCTTAATGTTTTTCCTACTCTTTTGGGCTGGTTAAGTCTGTATTGTTTCAGTCTGCACATGTTCCTATGCACATTAAAGCCAATCCATGTCGTTGGTGTCATTGGCTTCAACAGATGCTAGGGGTCTAGAAACTGAAACAAACACAATCCTAGTAATGCTGATCAAACCATTAGGTTCCTTTCATATTGCTTCGAGAATGAATTGGAAGTCTGTACAGAATATAGATTTGCTTAGAGTTTTGTAGCATCTGTTGGATTTCTTTTGTTAAATTATTGAATATCAATCTTCTCTGCATGGTGGCTTTTTCATTGCAAATGTTTGATGGCTTAATTATTTTTCTCCGCTTATTTACTCTGCTTGTTTTTAATATAGTGCTACAATGGCTATCTATGACGCCGTACAGCTTGTGAGGGCCGATGTTTCCACGGTTGCACTTGGAATTTCAGCATCAACAGCTTCTGTTATCCTCGGTGGTGGCACCAAAGGCAAGCGGTTTGCTATGCCAAATACACGAATTATGATTCACCAACCTCTGGGAGGTGCTAGTGGACAAGCTATAGATGTAGAAATTCAGGCTAATGAAGTTATGCACAACAAGAATAATATCACAAGAATTATAGCAGGTTTCACTGGACGCTCATTTGAGCAAGTACAGAAAGATATTGATAGGGATAAATATATGTCTCCAATTGAAGCAGTTGAGTATGGAATTATTGATGGTGTGATCGATAGAGATAGAATTATTCCTCTCATGCCAGTGCCAGAAAGGGTGAAATCAACACTAAACTATGAAGAAATAAGTAAAGACCCAAAGAAATTCCTAAACCCAGAAATTCCTGATGATGAGATATACTAGCTATCCTTGAATTCAATGTTACGCTGATAGCAGTATACAACATTTTGGGTGAAGCTTCAGCATGCTGTAACAAACCCTCAAAAGTGTAGGATTTGCATTTTTAATTTTTGTGTGGGTGAGTGAAAAATTACTGTTCTGTTATGGAGAATTTTGTTGGTTATCATTAGCTCTATTATTTCTTCGTTAAATCAACTACTATCATTTTTTCTTATTTTTTAAAATTAATTTGTAGCAGATTTTATGGCCACCCTTCTGTCAGGAGCTTCTATAAAATATTCTCTTTATTTTTCTCATGGAACATCTAATTCAGGAGTTAAACTTCTAACATTTGTAATTATTATAATTAGCAGAATGTTCTTGCATAATGGGTAAGACAAAATATATATGATGCAGAAAATATTCTCCATCACTGAGTTTGTAATCAAAAACTCCAAAGTTGCATTGCATAGTATTAGAACTTTTTCGTCGTATAGAGATACTTTTTAGCTGGGGTTTGTGAGTTAAGTACTGGTATAATCAATACATGAAATTATGATGCAATGTGGATATAAATGTGCTGTGACTACTCTCTCCAGTTGACAAATAATATTAACAATTAATAAAAATTCAATTTTGTTAAGATAAATAAAAACTAAACTTAAAAATATGATCAGTTACTAAATTTTGTTCTAACAGACCAAAAACATAAACGTCTCAGAAGCTGCAAGAAACATTAATTATGAAGAGTGATATTTTAGAGATATATATATATAATATAAAAGAAAAGCAGAAAAAGAAAGTGTGAATGATGATAGATACTGATGTGTAGGTCAACCTTTGTGAGCAATGAAACAAAACGGTGCCGACTGATGAAAAGTGGAGCCTGTAATTAGTACTAATTGGTGATTACTGAAATAATTAATGATGACCAATTACTATCAGTGCATGTCACAGTTCGAAAGCCAAAAAGAGCAGCCTTGTCTTCTTTTGCTCGAAAATTAGGTAACTTGTGCCGGATCAACCAAATGTTCCCTCCCCTTATTATGCCGTTCCATACTTTGACTTTCATATTCAAACTTAACATTATCATATTATTCACAATCAAACTCTCTCCATATTCATTCCACTAATTATGCCTGCACCACACAAAATTTACTCCATTTTCTATCTTCAATTCCTCTTCCTTTAGAGTATTATTTTATATTGAATAAAGATGAAAAATAAAAAATTTATATAAAAAATAAGATTCACAAATTTATTATATTAAGATTTTAGATTGAAAATTACTTATAATTCAAATTTTATTATTATTATTATTTCTGTTATACCTAACAGTCTCATATTGTTTAAGAGTCAAAATTTAGTGTATTTTAAATACTTTTTTTCTCCTTTCATTCTGTGATATATATAAGGGATCGATAACACTCTTTACTCAAAACGTTAAGACAATAAGTTAATAGGTCTGTCATCTTTATATACTGTTTTACTTTCTCATTTCTATCCAATGTGAAATTTGAACTCACACTTGGATTCTCAACAAATATATCTTTTAAAACAAAATCATATGATCTTCATCCATTATTCTTATAAGAACAGAATCTCAACCGACTAATCATTAGATCAATTATATTTATTTAAATAAATCCTATTTTAAAATATTTATTTTGAATATGAAAGTATAAATCTTTCTTAGTCATCCCTTCAAATAAATAAAAGAAAAAAAATACTATTTTTATGTTAAAAGTCTTTTCAATGGAATTTCACTCAAATGTATTACGAGTAAAAGTGTAATTACGTCAATGTTATATAAGTTATTTTCCATCAAAATCTGATACGATATGTTTATGAAATAAAACTTGTTTACACATTGAAATAAAAGTTGAAGTTATCGATAATAAAAAAAGATGATTGACCAATATGAAAAGTAAAAGCGCATTTTTGTTTTGAAGGGAATATTTATTTGAAGAGTTGGTGTGAAGGATGCAAGTAGCATATTGATTAATTTGCCTGCAAAAGTTGCATGATTAAGAGAGGTGCTTAACCATGTTCTCTTGTTTTTGTTCCTCAATTACGTAACCAAAATTGATGTTGCAAGCATCTCATATAATTGCTTTCTTAATGGTAATATATTTATTTTTCCTCAATTCATGCATCACTCTCTTATATTTAATATTCTTTCATCTGTATTTTGGTATGTGTATGTTTCTAAACACGTCAGACTATATTTTATTCTTCTATGAAGTTTTATGAATTATTAACCACAATTTTTATATAATTGTTTAAAAAAATGGAGTTAAATATGTTTTTAGTCCCTAAATTATTGATCTTTCTTTTAAAATAAGGTACAATTTAGTCCTCATTCTTTTCGAAACGTTCGTTTTAGTCCTCGAAACTTTGGTTTTAGTCCTCATTTTGTTGACTAAATGAGGATCAAATTTTTAACGGTGTTAGTTTTCGAGGACTAAAACGAATATTTCGAAAAGAATGAGGACCAAGTTGTATCTTATTTTGAAAGAGGGACGAAAACCAAAAACGACCAATAGTTTAAGAACTAAAAACATATTTAACCCAAAAAAATGTGCTAACAATTTTAAAAATTTAAATGTGATATCAAATTCAAATGTTCCAAAATGATACTCATGATGTTTCTATTGCAAACGCTTAAATAGAATGTACATACCAATCAAACAATTTCAGATGAGGAAACTTTGTAGGGAGAAATGAGTGAAAAAGATTGATAAAAATCAATTACAAAAATTGGTATTAACAAAGCATTATTAATTAAATTTAAGAAAGGAATCAAAGTCAGACCAATTTAAAATAATGACGCCAAAAGATATTAATAAAAAATAAGCACTAAATGGCATTATTTTTATTGACTTTTTTTTGTCATAGAGATTAGAGACAAATGTGTCAGCGATCTCAAATACAGTGCAAGATGGTTTGAGGGAAATTATTCTTAGGGAGTGATATTGTTTTTAAATTTAAGGTGCACAATGATTAATATTATATTTAGAACAGTTTAGTTTTAATTTTTACATTTTCTTACTTGTTTTTCTTTAGTTCTTACCTTCTTAATCATAGTGGGTTTAACATTAAAAAAATTTAACTATAATAATTGAGGTACCAAACAATGCTTTAAATTAAGATGACTAGATTATTTTCTTTTGCATATGATTGGGGAACGTATTTATTATTCTTTACTATTCAGATATTTGCATTTAAAATTATTTCGTTTTTAATATACTACAAGTAATAATTTCTGTATTACTTTTTGTTAAATAATTATTAATTTTCTACTTATAAAATATTATTTATTTAACGTGAATACATATAATTTTATATTACATTATAAATTTCATGCATTTATCATGTAATTAGTAAAAATATATTTAGTGTATTATAAAATAATATTATTTTTCAGATTACTTTTGAATTGCGTAAAGATAAAAACATAAACATATTTAATAATTTTTTATTTTGAAGTATGTTGAGATAAGGTAATATAGGTAATTAATTACATTGTTAGTTTTGAAACTGAGAATTTAGTTTTTGACTCTTAATATGTAATTATTGGGTGTACCAAAATAATTTTGAAACATTTTTAGTTAAAGAAAAAATAATGTTTATAATATATTAAAAATTATATTGCAATAAATCAGAGTTATGATTATAATTTCAAAAGAAATGTACTGGACTTAAATTATAAACATATAATTAAATTGTCATTTTTTAAATAATGTTAAAAATAATTAATTGAATGAAAAAGTACGAATAATATTAAGATGAAGTGAATTATATGTAATTACTTTATTTGTATAAAACAATAAATACATTGCCTAATTAAATTATACATTCAAAATATTTTATATTAAGTTAATTATTATAAATTAAAGTTATCTACTTCATGTAAGAAAAGCTAGTAAAATTTTTATCCATGAATATGTTTTGGTTGTATGAATTGGTATGTTAAGTATTGAGGAATTAGTACGATGAATTATTTCCTAAATTTGACTTATATAGATTTAAATATGGAAGGTGCATGAAACTTATAATGTTGATTGAATTAATTTGAAATATGTGATGTATATGTGAATTATGTTTATTGATCAATCCAAGATGTATTATTTCGGTAAAAAATTTGATGTATTTAAGACACTTTTAAACTTGTACGTATGTTATTTTTGAACTAATAAACATGTAAAAATGATTAGATTGACCAAATGAATGATTTAATACATATACTAAATTTTTTATTTTCTTAGACTAGTTGGGCGAGCAAGTCACCCACTAAATTGAAAATTTCAAATTTCAAATCTAGTGAGCTCAAGTGGCCTCACTTGTTGGGAGAGCTTGATGAAACTAGCTCATAGTGGTCTTAGTGAGCAAGTGAATCACTCGCCCGACAAAAGATATTTTGAGAAATCTTATGTCTAGGAATGACTTGGTCGTTCAAATGACTATACATTTAGGGGTGTCTCAGTAAGCAAGAAAATGAATAATTGAGCAAGTCTAAGTTTGAGCGAAGATGAACTTATGGTCATTGGGTGAATCATTTGATGGTTGAGCGATAAATAGAGTTTAAAAACATGAAATGAGTTTTAATCGTGAATTTTAAGGGTGAGGTTGAGTAAAGCAAAGACTATATTATGCTATAAGTTTATTTAGTATGAGGTTGAGTAAAGACAAGACCGTTTTATGCCATAAATATATTGAGTGAGATTGAGTAAAGCAAGATTCGTTTTATGCCATAAATCTATTGGATTTATAATAGTTATGCTTTATGTGTTAATGATGTGTACAATATGGCCATTTCTAAAGAGATTTGTCATATTGTATATTGCTAATGTATGCATTTGACAAGAGATTTCGACATGAGGTCATCCTAACTATACTAAACACCTAAACTTATTAAAGAATGATGTTTAGGTGATGAAAATGGAAGGAGACCGCTTAGTTTGGTGAAGCGACATGAAATATATCATATCTTACATATAGTATATAAATTTATCTTGTCATATAAAAATGACTTTGTCATATAAAAATGACTTTGTCTAAAATGAAATAACTTTACAAGATAATAAAAAGTTATGATAGATATAAGATTTTATAAGAATTTGACTCAATTATATATGTTTTCTAGAAAATAGAATTTAGAGTACACGTATGCTTTTATGAGATGAATTAATATGAATGAAATGTATTGATAAATTATTTTAACATATGAAAAAT